AAGAAAGCACCGAATATAACGAGGGAAGCACCGAATATAATGGAATAAGCACCGAATATAATGAAGACAGCACCGCATATAAAGACATAAGCACCGTGTATAATGGAATAAGCACCGAGTAAAATGAGTTAATCACCGAATATAATAACATAGGTACTAAATATAATGACATAACCACCCAATATAGTAAAAAAAAGTATCATAAGACAGTTCTGGCGTTCCATAGATATTAATGATATCCTGTCTGACTGAGTCCAAGTGTTCAAATTGGGCCTACGGTTTTCGTGGCTCGTATGTAGTCTTTACCTACGGTTTTCTTTGCCCCCAAAGTTAATTGTGATTCACCCAGTTCACTGAATGTTTGAGGTAACACATTTGTGTTGTTATTGATTAAGGTGTTTTTCCACTAACCTAAATTACATAAACCGGCAGATTGAGGCATGCACTTTATTGTAACGTGCTGTATAGCACTGCACTACACTATGCACTACCATGATTTGTGTTAAATCTTAGTTATCATGATGATTTAATCTGAAACAAATGATTGTTGCTCATAGAAGCAACAGTGCGGCGAAGAAGACTTTCCCCCCACGACTTTACCATCTCAGTTGAAGCTGCATTGAAGAATCTTTCTGCTGAAAATTTGGACTGGGTACTCTCTGGAGGAAATCGTTCTGGGCATTCTGAACAGTTCAAACTAGGAGCTCTTCAAGAATCCTGTCGAGAGGGGGAGATCATTCTAGGGAGTAGAGGTGCCTGTCAAGTGACACAATTTCCATCAAACAGTGAAGGTAAAATTATCTGAAAACACGAATATTTATGTTTGGTAGTTGTGGTGACCAAATGTATGGTTAGGGCCTAATGCCTAATGGACTTTGGATTGAACTATTCAGGATTGAATGCTGACCCTAATCACTGTGTTGTGTTCCTGGGTACCTGGGCACCTGGGCAAGACAGTCAATTCTCACAGTTCCACTCCACAGGGGCATACGTCAACGCTTACAAACTCAGGGCAACCTATTGAAAGTGTTCGCGGTGGCTTGGCATTGGGCTAGCATCCTACTCAGCAAGAATAGTAATTCCCATAGTTTTGTACTGAAAATTACAGGAATTACGGAGTTTTATTTGTACTGAAAATCGCTGAAAGTAAGTGTTTGTTTTGTTTTTCTCTGATCTCAGAACCTTGCAGTGAACCCTATGAAGTACTTGCTAGAGGAGAAGTGGCAGTTCAAATATTTAATCAAGCCCTACGTGAAGGCAAAGCCTGTGTGTCTCGCATGCAGCTCACTGTAATTGGAGATGTAGGTGCTGGCAAAACAAGCCTTGTACGCACTCTAAGTGGAGAGGCCTTTATAGAGGAACGGAGGGAGACGCATGGAATTGTTACATCTATGGTTGAGAGGACGGAGTTAGATGATTCATGGCATACTGCTGACCTGAACAGATCCCACGTGGATGACATTTTGGCTGATAAAGTATGCCGAGGAATTAAAGATTCCCCGGGTGGTGAACAGTCACGCAATAGCCAGGGAAAATTGTTAAGCTCCTCAGGCCCGGGGCAGTCCTTTTTACCCGAAAAGATTCCTCTGAGACGTCTTTTAAGCATTGAGAGTCGACCCTTATCAGAAACTAATGACTTGTCAGGTGAGGGTACAAGCATGGTCCCAATGCCTTCTACTAGATGTATCAGCAGACGTGAAGAGACTCCTCCACGAGACATACCAGTCGAGCAAATTGTTAGAAGAATGAGTGAAGCTTCTCTGGGTGAGAAAGAAAACAAGTACGCCAAAATCAGCATCTGGGACTTTGCTGGTCATCCATTGTATCAGGCTATGCACCATGTTTTTCTCAATAGACGCTCCTTCTATCTGGTGGTTTTTAACCTGGTTGAGCTCTGCAACTCTGAGACTACCCAGAAGGCACTAACAGAAATTCACTTCTGGCTGAACTCCATTCGTGTCCACACTCCTCAGGCGACACCTGTGTTCCTGGTGGGAACCCGTCGTAGTGAAGTAAGCGAGGAAGATATATCTCATGCAGAAGACGTTCTGCGCTATGAATTCATTGAGAAATTTGGGCAGCAGCTAGTGAAAAGCAAGGTAAAGAGCTTTTTGTTCGCCGTAGAAAACTCCCTTGGCGGTGATGACGATGGTGCTGTGGAGCTAAAGAACGCCATTGAAGAGGAGGCTTCTCGCCTGATGCTAACGGATGAGGAACTTCCCGTTCTGTGGCTTCATTTTGAGGAAAAAATCCTAAGACTTAGGGAGAAGCCAGATTGCCCATCCTGTGTTAGTAAGGACTTCCTGAAAAAAATGATGGGGGGGAGCTGTCGTGTCGTGGAAGAAGAAGAGTTCCAAAGTATGCTGCACTTTTACCACGACAGCGGTGTGATCATTCTGCCAGGTAATCGCGGTCTTCTGTCCATTTCTATTTACCCTTAGTTTTGTCAATATACGTACTGTCAATCAATCAATCAATCAATCAAATCAATCAATCAATCAATCAAACTTTATTTAAAGAGGGTGACACTTAATAGTTAAAAAACTAATGAACTTGTGGCCCTCTATAAACATTGTTACAATTTAAATAAAACCTATTTTAATTAGTAACCTAATTAAGAATTTATTTAAAACCTAATTAAAAATCATAATGTACAGCAGATTTAGATCTAAAAGTCAAAGGTAAAACAGCTTGAGTTGATAGTCTACTGGATCGATAATAACGACATATATTACGGCCATTTAAAAACCCTGTTTCATCTGTTTTTAGAAGAGTTAATCGGACCAAAGACCCAAAGCTCAGAGTTGCAGGACTTGGTAGTCATCAATCCGCAATTTCTGGTTGATGTCATGACCTGCCTTCATGACATTCCCACGTGCTTGGATGTTGACCGTGAGCATCGTGGTCAATGGAAGGTATTGCAAGAACAAGGAAGAGCAGACATGGGTCTTCTGGAGCATCTGTGGAAAGACTTTGATAGCCCTGCCACAAAACTAGTTGGTATCTTGGAAGCTTCAGGAGTGCTGTGTCCCATCTCGAATTTGGCAGACGTTGAAGACCCTGAAGACGGTAGTGAGCAAGATGAAAGTGAAGGATCTGATCCAGTCAGCAAGTACATTGTTCCTTTTCACCTAAAAGAGAAATCCCTGAAAGGAACGTGGCAAAAGCTTTGTCGAAATGCCTGGGATGGAATCTGCAATTCAGATAAAGTGTTAATGTTTGATTTCCACAGCTTCCGGCCTCCTGCACTGTTCCAATATTTCATTGTTCGCACAGGAGCAAAGAGCAAATCCAGCCGTGGTATGAGGCCTGTCATTGCTAAACATATGGCCATTTTCTCCTTTGAAGACAGCTACTTCATTCTTGCAGAGGAGTGCCAGAAATACAGTCAGATTCGAATAAGTGCCAGGTAAGTCCATGTCAATTTTAATCTCTGCCAGCCACCTTTAAATTGAAGCATTTCTAATCAGAGGAAGCTTGAACTTCCTGTTAAGTATATTAAAAATTAGGACCTCGTCACTGTGTGAAGGTGTTTTTAATTGACTGTAATTTAGGCTGACTATCATCGTCATCTCTTTATGTGTTTGTTTTAAGTATTATTACACAAAAGAATAATGGTCAAGGAGACGGTGGTATTCTAAACAGGGCTACTAAAAAATTGACGGAGGGTTATGTCAAAGGTTGTTTTCTCAGAATCGGAAAACATAAAGACGTTTTAGGATTATAACTTACATTCCAGTTGGAAGCTGAACAAATAATGGCAAGTTAATAAAAGCAAATTGCGGCCTTTGTAACGTACATATAGAATACTCTTTTATTTCGTCGTAGGTACAAAAATGGGAAAAAGCTCCATGAATTGTTCAGCATCTTAATGTCAATCATGACAGACATCTGTCAGCGCCAGTTCCGGTTTCTTAAGTTCAGTTTTGGACCTGTCTGCCCCAACCCAAGATGCCCTGGATCCTCGTCGGATGGCAAGGTTCTTCCATTGGATCCATTTTCTGATGAAAGTGATGAGAACAGCGATGGTAACTCCACATGTGATGAAGCCTGTTCTGGTCCCCCAGGGGAGGGTCGTCACCACGTGATATGCATCGATCCAGCGGTGCCAACAAGGCCATTATGGTGCAACAGTACGCCAGTTCATGAATTTGAAGAAATCAAGCAGTGGCTTGTTAAGGCAAGGGGCCATACAACTAGAAATGCTCTTTACTTCTTACTTTCATCTTTCAAAGATTTACAAATAGATTTTGGCAGTGTTTTAAGGCAGAATTGGATTAGGTTTGGTCTATACGAACTTTTTCTTTCTTCCCAACGACACGAAAAATCCGCTTTCCTTGGCTGGCGTAGTTTGCACAGTACGGAAGCTTTCAAATAAGTGGACTAGCACCAAACTACGGTGATATGGTAAAGGGGTGGTAGGGAAAGAGCTGGGGAGGGGGCAAGATAAGTAAGGTCGAGGAGCGTACGTTTTTACTGTAGATGCTGAAGATGAAGATGTGAGGGAACCATGCAAAGACTCCAAAGACAGTTGTTGGACAAAAAAGCGAATAACATTTGTTCGGTCAGCTGCTGAGGGTTTCTATTCCAAAACATTTACATATTTTCCTCTCTACGAAGAGCAGCACATAGACAGTGTTTACGAGTACGCTAATTTAGTTGCTGCTCTGTTTTGTTTTGTTCAGCCCGAGAATGCTGTCTCAAAAGTCCCGGAGGATTCTCCGTGTTATTCCAGTAAGTATACATTTATTAAAAATGGCCATAATCATGATAGAATAATGAGTTCACCTTTGTTGTAACAAGTGGCTGCTAGCCACCCGAAACCTGAGCCGGATCAATTCCAGATTACGGCATACTGTGCCAAAATACTTGAAAACGGCCCTGATAAATAATGGCATGTCATGTTTCAATTAACAAAAATATGTTCACTACTTCCTTTCAAGTTCCAACTATTTTGTTTGCCGTTTTAATCAGGCCCAGTTGGGGTATGTTGTCTTGCTTTAGTTGCTAAAGCAATGGCCAACGACTGGAAGTTTCTTGGCAGATTTCTGGATGTCCCAGAAACAACCATTGACAACATTGAGACAGAGAACAAATCACAAGACGAAAGGTCGTATCAAGTCCTTATTAGTTGGCGTCGATCCAAGGCCTCTAAAGCAACAGCGCACACTCTGATGAAGGCAGTTCAAGATGTTGGTAATGTAGACGCTATGGAGAGATTTGATCGACACCTAGGCGAGAGCCATGTCGGAGGAACAGCAATCTCAGAGTGAAGACGGACTTAATGTAACTTGTCTTCGTGTTGGCTTTGTTTTTGTATGTCCAATTCCCTTTACGAGACGTGCCTGCAGGGAATCATGGTAGTTGTATTCATCGAAACAAATATCCAGTCCAAGGTGATGAATACAACTAGCATGATTCCTTGCAGGCTCGTCTCGTAGAGGGAATTGGCCATTCTGTTGTTGCTGGCGACCCATGGGAAAAAATAGTTGTCTTTTGTTTTTGTATGTTCTTTATTTTTTTGTCTTTTTGTTGATTTCTGTTGTTTTGCTGTTGTTTGTTTTTTAAATTTAGTTTTCAAATTACGTACGCATGCCGCAAAACGAAACTGAGCTACGGAACACAGTTTCTATGAATGCCGAGGTACTGTGAGGGTACCTTAGGGTATTCCGCCCGGGATTGTTCTGTTTGGAAAAAAGGGTTTAAGAAACCACCAGTACATGTCAGAATGCCTGCACTGAATTCAATCTTTCCTTACAAAAACAGCATTTAAGCTATAGTGGTCAAACTTTGTGACTTTTTCTAAGAGTTATCAGGAAAAAGTTTGGTGTATCAGTTGTTTGGCGACGTGACTTATTTGGTCTTCTAGGAACAAGTTTCTCAGTTTAGTTCGAACTTAGATATTATGACGATGTTATTCCAAATTCTTTTCATTTAATGTATGGTTATATTCCTGATTATCTGAATCATTTCTGAAGCTGTCCTGACTAATCATTTGGAAAACTTTGGAAATCCAAGATGGCGGGCATTTTGACACGTGTGATGTCAACAACAACAACAACAACAACAACAACACACACTTTATTATCAAAACAGAAAAAACTCTTAGTTACAAAAAAATATGATTGAAACATAAAACTACGTAATTCACCCAGAATAACTTAAAAGCTAATCTAGCCGAGTGAAATCATTTTTGTGTTCTGTAGTCAGTGTAGTGTCGCGATTACCACAAAAATAAACAAACGGGAATGCCTAAGTTTGATAACCACTGAGTGGATTATTTTGGAGATACATAGGGTTCAAATTTCCTGCTAGTGATTAATGATATAGTGTAACAGAGTTAATAGTAGGTAGCTTGTACGTGGTATGTATCATTATATCAATGTATTGCCGTGTTTTCACGAGACAGGTTTACTACGATTACTGCTTACCGAGGTTTCGTGACTAAACCGCAGTTATTAGAGAAGCTGTTTACACGGAACTAATTAACTAAAGTAGGCCGCGTACAATGGACGGTTTGAGGTTTTCTCGGAAAGCAAGTGCTGCAATGTTGCTATTGGAAAATTACAAAATTTCTGACTTTATCCCAATGCCGAACGCAGGTACCGATCGTTGTTAATTGGCTTGCGGTGATGTCGAATTCTCCTTAGATGTAAAGCTTTGTAGATGAATAGTGGAAAGCAAATTTTGATATCTCGCTGGGCCGTCTTCCCGCAAAAAAACCTGAAACGGCATCTGCCGCGGAGCCCGGGCAACGTAAATGTTTACCGGTACTTCTTCTTATTCGGCGCCGCTTAAAATTCGAACATTTGCTTTTCTTCTCGATAGACATAAACATTAGTTTATTTAGCTTTTTTTGCCCGTTGACTTGAAACCTAGCTACTTACATTAAGAGGAATCTTTGTCTTTTTGTCTTTTCTTCACGCGCTGAACGCGTGAACACTTGCTGCCAAGATGTCGCGACAACGTCTACTTTTCCTCGGTTGCCGTCAGTTACTGTGTTACGGAGCTAACTCATGCCTGATGAGGCGTTCAACTGTCGACAAACCTAGGTTGGCTTACTTTTGATTTTGCGGCCATTTACCGAGGTTTACTACTGTGTTTACACGATTAAAAATTTCACTTCAGTAAAGTTAAAACAAAACCAAGGTAAACAGCTCTCGCGAAAACACGGCTATATCAAGTATGTCAGATGACAAAGTTTCAGATCGAAGCACAAAACTGGCACCACGTAGCCAGCAGTTTGCCTAGCTCCTCTCGGGATTTTCCCAGAAACTGAGGCCTAGGAACTACCCAAGTAAGCATATAACATGACATAAAGTGTAGGCAATCATTTGCTAATGTCATTGTTTACTTTGATTCTCTCATAAGCATACGACTTTGCTTAGAGTGGGTGTCATGGTGGACAAGTGACCCCAAACATTGAAGGAGCTTTTGAAACCTAATAACTGTGAAATCGTTAGCTCTTTGGGTGAAGTATTAGACAAGATATTGGATTTCACCAGCTGAAAAAATTCTGGGTGGTAAAAGCGCTAATGAGCGCATACAATCCTTTTGAATTTTTAAGGTTTTAAACTTGCGTCATTCCAACAGTATTAGTTCATCGGGCTCAAATTCCTTGGTAGAGTTAATCGTGCCATGCATGACCTCGGAATATTTTTCAAGCTCGATCGGATTTTGAAGCTTTTATGCAAGCTCGCAAAATATTGCGAGTAATGATTTCTCGATACAGTCTTTCAAAGACTTATGCAAACGAGGAAATAAATATTTTTCCAATCACTATTAATATAAAAATATACCATTAAATAATATGACTAGTAATTGTCTAATTTACGATTGTAACATGGTACTAATTCACAGTTGTTCGATTTCTCAAAAAGAGAGGTTTTAAAATTATTATAATAGGATCTACAACGATGTTAAATTGAATTGCGTCTCAATGATGGTTTCAATCAGTTGGCCTTCAGGGTATTCCTGCGCAATTCCTAATTGCAAAGAAAGTAACATCATGGGTGATAAATTACTCCTTAATTTTGACGCAAAATTTCAGCGTTAATTTATAATTTCACTTTTGAAATTAATTGCCATGGCAACGTTTGGCGCGAAATTTCTCGATTTAATAAATAAGTCAAAATCCCACGATTGTAAGCGTTATTTCTCACCCATGATATTAAAAGTTAATCAAATAGTATACTCGTGAAATTAGGAAATAATTTCGCTTGCGTTTTGTCAAAATTCAAACAATTTCTTAGAATTCTGAAAAAACGCGCGTGAAATTATTTCCAGATTTCCCTAGTCACAATTTGATTACCTATACAAAACAGAGGTAAAGTGACCCGACAGAAATGAAATTTAGTCCCCTCCTCAATGCATATTTTTAAATACATCTTGTCATTTTGTATTCTTGTCTCTCTGAATCAACGTCATTTTTACTTTTCTGCAAACGTCCTGGGTTTTTACAATAGTCATGTAACGGTTACTACAAATTTCTCAATAAAATATCAAAACTGTCCAGCATTAGTATTCTGTGTTTGTTACTTCATAATAGTATCATCTTCGTTTTAGTCCGCAAATATAAAGGGAAAACTATGAGATTCGCTCTGGGCAAATATTTTCACTGCAGTACAGTAGTCCAGAAGGTATAATCCTAAGGTATTTATATAAACGTTTCAATAACACAACAAGACACTCGACGGCTGCGCATTTTGAGTTGAGGCGCTAGCTGCCCACTTGACCCGTCATGATTGAGTAATTCAAACGTCCTCTCCTCCTTTCTCTTTTTTTTTTTTTTTTTTTTTTTTTTTTTTTTTTTT